AATTGCCCCCTCTATTGGAGAAATGAAAAGAGCTCTGGGTAGCACCAGGATAGTGCTCCAGGGAACGATGAGGTATGTTATATTATATTGAAACATTTAAGTAATGTAGCGTTAAATAAATTGTTAATGTTATTTAATAAGATATGACAAGTAGGGCTCTTGCCATATAGATGCAAAAAGGCAATAATTATGCCAATAAAGAAACCTGGAAAAGGCCATAGTAATCCTGGGAAATATAGAACCATTGCTTTGACTTTCAATATGTGTAAATTGATGCAAAGGATGGTGAATGAGTGGTCGGCGCAATTTTTAATCAAGAAATATAACAGCGCCTTATCAGAGTAGTTTTCGTAGCAATGGATCCTCTTTTATGTCTGGAAGATGATATTAAGAAAGCTCAGAATAATAAAGAAATTGTAGTTGCTATGTTTGTGGATGTAGAAAAAGCATATGATATGCCTTGGAGAAAGGGTTTACTGATTAAATTACATCAGTTAGGAATAGGAGAAAATATGTTTAGTTGGTTAAGGGATTTTTTTATGTGACAGAACTATTCAAGTTAAAATAGGATCACGTTTCAGAGCCAAGAAAAATAGAAAATGGAACTCCTCAAGGAAGTGTAGTAAGCCCAACGTTATTTTCAGTTATGATCAATGGTATTTTTAAAGATATGTCTGTAAATTACTTTTTGCTCATGATAGAGCATTATAGGTAAGGGCGGGAAATGTAGACCATCTCATTAAGAAATTCCAGGAGGGGATAAGTAAAGTGGAAAAGTGAGGTGTAGAATGGGATTTTTAAATTTTCAGTTGTGAAAACTAAAGTCATGTTTTTCACAAATAAAAAAAAAAATAGGAGAAAATAAACAGTTTTACTAGTATGGGAAGGGGCTAGAAAGGTTTGATTGGTTTTGGTTTTTGGGTCTAGTTTTTGATAAGAAATTAACTTGGAAAAATCACAGAGCACATTATGGGTAAAAGTAAAAAGGTACTTAATATTATAAGGGGTTTAGCAGGGTTGACATGGGGTGCAAATTTTGATGCCACATTAATTCACTCAAGAATAGATTATAGGTGTATGGTATATTGGTCAGTGGCTAAAACTTGGATATTATCCAAGCTCAACCACTGAGACTTTAAGCAACACCAGTATGTGTCCTACAAGTAGAATCGGGTGGAGTGCCACTATATTTTAGAAGACAAAAGTCAATGGTAAATTATTGGATACATTTGAAAGGTCATAATAAAAGTCATCGTGTTAAGAAAGTGTTACAAACTGTTGGAAAGAGGAAAAGATTTTAAAAATAGTTTTGGGTGGATTGGGGATAATATGACAAAGAATTTAATCAGACAGTATTGTGGCCTTTAAGGTCTGCATGGAAATACATTAATGTAGATAGATCATTATCAGATATTAAGAAGACATGAATTACAACAGATATTTGTCAAGAATTGTATAATAGTGTGGAGAATAAGTACAGTGACTATTTGCAGATTTATAAAGATCCCAAAACTGAAACAGCTAGTGTGGCAGTTGTCATTCCTGAATAAAATATATAAACTTCAAGAAGAACATAATTTTTTTTAGTATGAATGCGGAGTAGAGTTATATGCCATATTATTTTCCTTGTTTCTTATTTTTCTTGTATTTTAGCACACCACTGTTGCTTGTGAAGCTTGCACACAAGAATCTCGGTCACATGTGCTGTACCAATGTACCAGTAATGTGACGTGACAATAAAAGTGATTTGATTTCATTAAAAAGGTGCTCACAAGGAGATGGCTCAAGCCTGAGCCACCAACAACTGAAGACTGGATATCTTCTGTACAAGAGATCTATACAATGGAAAAACTGTCCTTCTCAGAACAGTTGCAGAGGGATACCTACTGCAGAATATGGTCTAAGTGGACAGAGTGAGGTGTGATTTTCTATGAACTTTGGCGCTTTTTATGCTGTTGCACTGATTTAAATACTCACTGATATGGTGATGGTAACTCAGTTTTAAAAAAATACCTGTGGATGTAACCCTAGGCATTTTCTTAATAGCAGTTAACTAGGTGTAATAACTCCACGGCAGAACGGTCCACATTTTAAATGCTTTTCAGCATACTCTTAATTTACCACTTTCAAACACTTTTATTCCGGTTGCTGTACACTCACAGGTGGCTGCAGGTCTGCAGCTGCCAGCCACACACACTAACAACAAATGGTAAATGGTAAATGGCCTGTATTTATATAGCGCTTTACTAGTCCCTAAGGACCCCAAAGTGCTTTACATATCCAGTCATCCACCCATTCACACACACATTCACACACTGGTGATGGCAAGCTACATTGTAGCCACAGCCACCCTGGGGCGCACTGACAGAGGCGAGGCTGCCGGACACTGGCGCCACCGGGCCCTCTGACCACCACCAGCAGGCAACGGGTGAAGTGTCTTGCCCATGGACACAACGACCGAGACTGTCCAAGCCGGGGCTCGAACCAGCAACCTTCCAATTACAAGGCGAACTCCCAACTCTTGAGCCACAATCGCCCCTTACAACAACGACAGTCAGGAACAACTTTTAATGCAGGCGAGGCGTGATTGCCAATGTTGTGCAGGTGTGTCCATCGTCCCTGCAGCGGCACCGCAGCCCCGCCGCACCAGCATTTCCTGATCTAAGTCTGGGTGTGTTCACATTGGAAGAATCTAACCAAACACAGTGTACTGTAATAGTGTACTGGCAGCTGTGCAGCTAATTTTTTTTTTTTTTTTTTTTTTTTTTTTTTTTTACAAGTGGCACACTATCTTTTGCTTGTCTGTACAAAGAATGTATTATCATATATAATAAAATATAAAGAGCTTCCACACATAATAGAGAATGAAATTAACACAACTGCTACAGATAACTCAGCATTGTGAGAGAAAAGGCACTCTATAGTTTAGTGTTAAAAGTGCTGTAAAAATGTGTGTAAACTCGTTGGTTAGTAAGACTGGAAAAGAGCTGCCATATTAATCAGGTTTAGACTATTTGAAGGAAGAAGAAAAATTGTGAGACTGTTTGCAGTATAAAGGTTAAAAAATAGAAATAAATGGATGGATGTTTTCCAGAAACTTGTCTAACTTAACTAACAGCTAAGTCTATTAGCAGCAACCAACCCGGTGACGTCCTATTCTGTATTGGCACAAGATGGTAGTAGACATGTTCTAAAAATGACAAATTATACTTGCACTATTCCAACATGTTATTAATTATTGACATGACATAACACGTTATTAATTAATTTAATAATTAATTAATTAGACTAAATTAATTGAAAGATTTTCTTTCATTAAAAAACTGTTATACTTAAAATTATGACTATTTCTTGCATTACTTTTGAGTATAAAAGTATAAAAATGGCTTTTAATCCTAAACAGTTAGTACTTTTGTTAAAACTGATGAATTAAAGTTGAAAGTCTACGTGTCTTGTTTGATTTACACTCTATTGTGGCACTCATTATTACATTTAACCTACAACGACAAAACCAACACTTAGATTAAATTTACTACAAACCATTATACCTATTTAATTTTAACAACTCAAATGTTCTGACAAACACATTTGTTTCATTTTCTGATATGAAAGTTTTATTTTCAAATTAAGAAGCAAATTATGTAAGATATTTAGAGTGTCCAATCAAAGTGCACGTCTTTGCACTCTGAGAGGCCCCACAGAGCTGCCATGCTGCTGTTACAATCCTCCCTAAAAAAAGAGTCATTCAAAATCACTATATGGTGGACAGAGTCAGGTTTTAAAACCTGTCCTGTGGTCTGATTGTCTAATCAATAGTACAAGGCAAAGACCCTGCGGTTTGGGGGAAAAAAAACCCCTGACAATCAGACCACCCCTATGAGCAAGCACTTGGCAAGGAAAAACTCCCTTTTAACAGGGAGAAACCTCCGGCAGAACCAGGCTCAGTGAGGGGAGGTCTCCTGCCACAACCTGTGTTAAATGACAAATAGTTGAAAGTGTAGCAAATTTTTTGAAAGGAGGTTTGTAAATTATGGAACATTATGAAGCTACCCCAAAAGGTGGAGTCTGTTCATCTGGACATAGCGTTTTCAGTGGGAGGCGTTTTCTCCCACTGAAAACGCTACGTCCAGATGAACAGACTCCACATTTCGGGACTGACTTACCTGGATGATTGTGCATGCATTAAGTAATTGTGAAGATAATTATTCTGTTTCTGATTCACTGCTTATGCAGCAAAAGAACCTCCTCAAACTACTAAAAAAAGAAGAGAAGGCCCTAATGATACGGTTACTTGGCCTGTCTTCCTTCAAAACACGTACGAACTCCAAAACAAAAGACAACAGAAGTGCTCCAGAATGCTAGATGCAGTGTTGAGCTTTTGTTACCTAGAGTCTACACAAGCCAGGAAATACCAACGACCGGATTTGGTGTGTGGTAGTAACAGGTAAATGAACATTTTTTTAAAAATTAATTATAATTTTATATTATTGTTAATAATAAATCAATTAAAGTAACAAAACAACCTGACGAGCTGGTTCGGAGCCGAAAGAGCCGGCTCTTTTTAGTGAGCCGGTTCTCTAAAAAGAGCCAGAAATCTCATCACTACAGTCACGACTGACGACTGCTGGGCAGGGATCTTTTAAAAACAGCCACCTGATGAGGGGACCAATCAGCTGCCGCCAGCTCTCTAATCAGGGAGGACCTGTACATTATTTGGTGTTCTGGCCTCTAGTTTAAATCACTGTCTTCTCCGTTTTATGTGTTATATTCTTTGTGTCTGTCTCTCAGTGTGAAGTTTGCGTTTTTGTGATTTGTTTCTTATTTCCTGTTTTATATTGATAGTCCCAGTCCTATGTCAGTGTATCCAATTTTACCTCCCCCTGTCTCGTTAGCCCTAATCTCTCCCAGCTGTCTCCCTCCTGTTTCCTGTTCGCTGATTACTCCCTGTGTATATAAGCCCTGTGTTTGCCTTTGCGCTCTGTTGTGTTGTACCCTCAACGTGCTGTGTGTTTTGTTTCAGTCTCCTGTTTAGGGGTTCCTCTTCTAGTGTTTCAGTTCTTAGTTCCTCTGTTCAGAGTTTTGTTTTTTGGTGAGTTTAATTTACTAAGAGGTTTTTCCCAGCAATAAAGCTGCGCTTTGAGTTTTACCTCTGTGTTTGAGTCCTGCTCTTGGGTCCACCTTTCCTGTCTGCCTGCCACACAGCCCTCCATGACAGAACGACTCGACCAGTACATGGACCCAGCAGAACTCACCCTGTCTGATGAGCTTAAGGAGGATATAATTTATTCAGTGAATAGATTATGTGACCTGTGGCTGAATCATCCAGAGGAGTTTCAGCGTGCTGTACCCAACCAGCTACAATGACTAGTTTCTGGTCTCCCCTGGCTTTTGGACTCGCTTCACCCACTCATACAGGAATTTTTCCTTAATGAGCTTCATCTGCATCCCCCTGCCGCTACAGCTTACCCACCCAGCTCGGAGAAGGATGTGCTGCCCGGCCTGCCGGACTTGGAGTTGCCCGGCTCACTGGAGCCACCACCGAAGTTGAAGCGACGGCGATGTTTTTTGTGAAATTCCAGACTCATCAAGAGGATTTAACCCTGTAAGACCCAACCCATCAAAAAAAAATGGCCAGAAAATTCCGATTTTTTTTTTAATTTATTTTTTTTGGAACTGAGATGGTTATTATGTATATATTGTGTTATTCTTACTTAGTGTATTGTCTTTCTTTGTTACTGTTTGTTTATACTGGAGCACTTTAACCAAAAATAATTTCCCCTAGAGATCAATAAAGTATTCTGATTAACCATTCTAACAAAATCCACAATGTTTTTGCTGTATGTATATTTTTGTTTATCTTTTATTTTTGTATTGCACTTGATACATTGGGCATTTTTGGCACGTTTTGTTAACAATAATGTTAATTCTAGACAAAAAAGGAGTTTTTGAAATTATGGCAAGTATTTATCATGTTGATGAGATAGCGGTCTCAGAAACTCATGCATCAAAAATAGGATACAAAGGGCATTGTAGGGTTAAGGAAATAGAAGCGATGTAGCAGTATAAGCCAAGAGAAGGCAGTAGTACAACTGTATTGAATGCAAGCTCCCATTAAAAACGAAAGAAGAAGACGACACCGGAAACTACCCAATCTGCAGTAACCAGACCTTCATGTGTTGCTAGGTTTTTCCTCTGGATTAAAATGGCGTGGATTGGTGTCTGTAAAGGCTCTCGTTTTACACATATTTAATTTCCCAATAAAGATGTTTGATTTTAGTTATTACACATTTTAAATCCTATTTGTTACGGTGAAGCGTTTTAATTTGAAGGAGGTCACCGGAACACCCCCTCATTGTAAGAAGTCTCCAGTAACGATCACCGGTTTCATCCTTCGTTCTCTCAGCTCTTCTTCTACTTCCGTCATGGCGCCCACTTTGGGCTTTTTTCCTGTTGTCACGTTGGTGGTGCTGTCTGGTTTTCCCGCCGCTGTGTCCTCGCGAAGGGACGTGCTCGAGCTCGGGGACGCGGACTTCGATTACCTGGCAACAGAGCACGAGACCATGCTGGTGAAATTCTACGCTCCTTGGTAAAGAATCGGCGTTAGTTTAGCGCGGCCGGCGGCGGGAGATTTTTCCTGAGTTTTTTTTTTTTTTTTAAATGAAATCATTCCATCTTTATTGGTTTTCTGCTGTTTTTAAATCGTGTCTCTGCTGTTAGGGAGGCACTAACAACCTGCTTGTCCTCTTCCATCTCTCGTTCCATTCCTCCACCTCTTTCCTACGTCATTTCCCTTGATTTAATTATTTTGTATTTATTATACTGTGGCTCTTATTTCCTTCATTCCTTGCCTTCCCTCCCCTTCCGTCTTTTCCGCATTACTTCTTTGCGTTCCAACTTCCTTCCTTCCTTCCCTGTTTCTTTACACCCTTCCTTTGTTTATTTCTCCTTCCTTTCCTTCATCCCTTTATTTTTCCCTTCCTTCAGGTGTGGTCATTGTAAGAAATTGGCCCCAGAGTTTGAGAAAGCTGCTAGTCGACTGAAAGGAAGTGTTCAATTAGCAAAGGTAATGTGTCCATCTTGTTCATTACTGTTGTGAACACCTGTTTCACAACAGTCTTATCTGTTTGTCTCACCTGTGCGGCAGGTGGACTGTACGACAAACTCTGAGACGTGCAGTCGTTTTGGGGTCTCAGGTTATCCCACCTTGAGAATTTTTAGGTACGGCAAAGATTCCGCCCCCTATGATGGTCCTCGCACTGCAGGTAGGAAACACTATGAGCATCCCAATCCTGCTCTGTTACTTGACTCTGTGATGTAACCTCTGTCTGTGTGTGTGTTTGTGTTCAGAGGGGATCTACGAGACTATGAGGAGGCAGACTGGTCCAGACTCGATGCACCTGAAGACCAAAGACGATCTGAAGGCCTTTGTCAATAACCATGACGCCAGCATTGTAGGTACGAGGTCACGTGTTGCCAGTGGCGGTCCTAGCCTATTTGGCGCCCTGGGTGAACACTCCCTCTGCACCCCCCCCCCCCACACACACACACACACACACACACACACACACAAAACATATTAAGGATTGTACATTAACATAAAACTGTTGTACACACACACACACAGAGAGAGTATGCATTGTATGCAAACAGCTACCAAACAGCCACCATAATTCGTCATACAATGAGAACAGGACAAATCAACAATTGACGATGACTAATTAATATTAAAATCTGTAACATAATGTATTGTTTGGAGTTTAGTCTGTTACTGCTACTATTTCTTCTTGGAGCAACTGTAACACACATAATTTCCTTAGGGATTAATAAAGTATTCTGATTGTTTCAGGATGACCTGCCATTATCCAATGACACATCTGCTTACCTGTATCTTTTGCTCGTTTCTCCTCCTCTTTTCTCTTTTTTCTAAACTGAGGAGCTGATGGCTTTGAACTTTTCTTGTCCATCTTCCATTGGTTTTAATTTTGCACTCCAGTATGAACACAAATCCTCGAGGACTCAAGGATCACCACAACATAACCTAACAGACCTACACCTTAGTTCACAGATTCACTTTGTCTAAGGTTTATTTCTGAGATTTCACACAACCCAGGATTCAAATCATGAATACATAAGGGGCTTGGATTTACAACATTCTAAATGAAATGTGCTCTATTTGGAAGCAGCAGGCCCCCCTCCCCTTTCGACGGCTTGTGTGTGAGACTTTAAATCATCAAACTGTAAATTTTGCTCCAGCCGGTCAGAAAACCTGCCTCCGCCCCGCCCTCTCCTCTCTGCGCCGCAAGCAGCAGGCGCACCTCACAAACGAAGGGCGCCCTTACTCCCAGCAAATGAGCGATAGAAAACCGATCGGTGCTTATGCCATTCCCAATATGCGCTGGCTGATGTCGGGGCAGCACGAGTACGAGCTTCTTTTTTTTTTTTTGCCGATGCCCGTGATGCCGCCCCGAGCAACTGCCCGTGTCGCCTGTATCTAAAACCTCTACTGCGTGTTGCTGTATGCTGCATCATGCTTTAGGCTGAGTGCTTCTTATTTGTCAAAGTCAAGTTATACAGACATTAAAGAATAAAATCAGTATAAACAAAACAGCAGAAGACGAAACAAACGATGAGGAAATGTAGCTGTTGCTTGGTCACAGGTGAAAGTTCCAGGCTCTTGTTGCCTAGGTAACCCTCAGTTCAGCTTAATTCAGTTTTATTTATATATTGCTAAATCACAACAACAGTTGCTTCAAGGTGTTCAAGTTGCTTTATATTGTAAAGATCCTACAATAATACAAAGAAAACAGAAAACCCCAACAATCCGATGACCCCTATGAGCAAGTGCTTTAGCGACAGTAGGAAGGACAACCTCCCTTTTAACAGATAGAAACCTCCAGCTGAACCAGGCTCCTGGAGGGGTGGCTAGAAAAAAGAGGGATGTAGTCTTAATCTAATCTTTAAGTATTTATTCACCTTAAACAGTTCAAACAAAACATGTACTCCTTCAATCAGAAAACCATAGTCTGCAAGCAGCTAGCTGTAGCCAATTTCCTGAAACAGAATAAGCCTAACTTAGCATTACACAGGATTATATATTGAGTTGTGCTTCTATCTGTTTGGTTAAAACTGTGGGGGAGAGGCCGTGGTTTAGACTTGGCATTCCCTCGTTGGTGGACAGGATGATCACAACCTCTTGGCAGTCCTCTTCCCCTCCGGAGGCCATAGCACTCGTCTTTCCACTGTACAGACGAGGTCACATCTAGGTTAGCAACCTGCCTCTCCTATTTTTTATGTAATGACTTTTACCCTGGTTACGTGTCTCTGTGCTGGCTTACGCTCTGGTTTGCACAGACGACTTCTAAATGTACTCGGGCATAGTGCAGCCTTTACACTCCTAACCTAGACAGAATCATAAGATGCATGATCCTCAGTTAGATTTCACACATAGGTACATCTGCAGGTACATCTCTATGTGTACCTGCAGAATTAAACTGAGAGCAATGGTAACAATGGCCTGCACGCCCACTCCGGGCTTCATCACTGCTCACCAAGCTGCATGCAAAATCTGAAGGATGTGCATAAAACAAAATGTATAAAAATGCTCGACCTCACATACCAGGACATATCCTGGTTAAAGACTCCACGATTCCTCAGTGTTACTGGAGGCCAAGGTAATGCTATCCAGAGTAAGCATCTGGTTAGATGCAGTGTTTCTAAGAATTTTAGGGCCAAGTACAATTACCTCAGTTTTATCTTTATGTCTCTTTAGGTCTTTGTCTTTAAAACATTCACGCAGTTCAAATAGTTGTTGTGTGTTATCTGGCTTGATGGATAGGTAAAGTTGGGTGTCATCTGCTATGCCTTTTAAGGGAAGCAGGTATAATGCAAACAGAATTGGTCCTTCCACAAAATCCCGTGGTACTCCATAATTAACCTTAGTGTATGAATTTTTTGTATTTTTTTTTTTGTATTTGTAACCTTCACTAAAGCCATTTCTGTATTGTGATGAGCTCTGAAACCTAACTGAAACTCTTCAAATAAACCATTTTTGTTGAATTTGTTCGCACTGTTGCAGTCTGGATACCTGTACACCTTTGAGGTTTTATTGCTTGCATGGCATGATCACCTTATAGTAACCTTAAAGTAAACATGGCCATGCTAACTTCAGGGTCAGGCAAACACTTGGTGTCTGTGGTCCTCTGACTCCCCTTTAGCTCCCTTACCAGTGCATGTGTCTGCATCAGGTGTGTTCTCAGGTACGGACAGCCCCCGTCTGGCTGAGTTCCTGAAGGCAGCCACTCTACTCAGAGAACAGTTCCGTTTCGCTCACAGCACCAACCTGCAGCTCGCCGAAGAGCATGGGGCCAACTCAGAGTGAGTTCACACCTAAGTGATATCACCGTAGTGATGTCACAGTTTAAAGGTGTTATTCTCACTTCTGTGCGTGTGTGTGTGTCTCTCTCTCCAGATGTGTGCTGCTGTTCAGACCTCCCAGACTCGCCAATGCTTTTGAGGACAGCATTGTCATCTTCAGAGACTACCTGACCATCGGCTCACTGCGGCGCTTCATCAGAGATCACATGTGAGTCTTTAAGAGATAACTCTTTATTGTCATTGCACAGTCATATATAGTACAATGAAATTGGAAAACTGTCCTACGTCATTAGAGGAACCGCAGCCTCATTCTGTGTGTCCATCTATGTGCAGCTACGGTCTGTGTCCTCACATGACAATAGAGAATAGAGACCGTCTGAGAGTCCGGGACCTGCTGACGGCGTACTACGATCTTGACTACCATCACAACATCCCCGGCTCCAACTACTGGAGGAACAGGTAACGCGAGCACACAGAGGGGATGTGTTCCAGATGTACAGCTTGATTGACTAAAGTGTTTGTGTGTAATCCTCTCCCCTGTGTGTTTTCTTCTCAGGGTAATGAAGGTGGCGTCTAAGTATGTCAGGCGGGGTCTAACCTTCTCTATAGCCAATAAGAAGGACTTCCTGTTGGAGCTGGAGGAAGACTTTGGAATGGGGACGTCAGATGGAGGGGAGCTGCCCTTTATCACCATCCGGACCCGACTGGGTCACAAGTACACCATGAGGGAGGAGTTCACGTGCGTAGCCAAGTCATACCACTATGTCACCTGTTCTGCAGGTGAGGGGGTGGGGTCACAATAAACCAGAACTATCTGATCCAAGTCTGTTTCAAACTTTTGGGGGGGCTGACCCGCATTTCTCAGCTTTCTGACCTCATCCACAATGAAAGCACCAACAAGTAACTGTGTGTGTTTGTTTGTTTGTCTTAGGAGGGATGGTGCGTCTCTGCAGAGGTTCCTGGAAGATTACTTTGCAGGTCGACTCAAACGTTACATCAAATCAGAACCGATACCTGAAAAGAACTCTGGGGCTGTCAAAGTGAGTAAAACAAACACGCCAAAGCCTCTTGTGTGAGTATCAATGACGTTGTAGACCTCTTTGTAACCTCTGACCTGTGTGCATCAGGTGGTGGTAGCAGAGTCCTTTGATCAGGTGGTGAATGACCCGGATAAAAATGTTCTGATCCAGTTTTTTTCTCCGTTGTGTCCTCACTGTAAGAAGTTGGAGCCGGTCTATGGAGAGCTTGCTGAAACGGTACGCTCACTCATATACTGAGAATATAATGTCCACTCTCACACTCTGTCGCTTTAGCAGTAACTGGGTGTTCGCTGTTTGGCTAGCTTCACTCAAACAGGAAAATCCAACTGTAGCCGTAATGTGCGGATTTGTAAAGCACTTTATAAATAAGCACTGTGTGGTGAAGACCCTGTTTTAGTCACCAGACCAACAAGCTTGAGTCCACACTCTAACTTCTCTGCACCAGGTGTACCATCCTGTGCAATCAGCTGGCAAAGCAGATGTTTGCAAGGTGTGATCAATGCTATTTTACACAATAAAATATTCTTTCGCCAAACACAACCAAACAGATTACTACAACACAGGTTACTTACTGCATGCGTATCACACCAAAAACATAACTGTTTCCTATCGAAGATAATTGCAAATCCCATCATCCATCAGCATTTCTGCAGGAAAAAAAACCTAATTTCCACGTTACAGTCTCCTTCACTCACATTTGGGCTCATTCCTCACTTCTAATATGAAATAATCCGGTCAGTGAGATGATGTAAGGAAAAAAGAAAACATCTCCAAAAAGTATGACATCTCTTTCTCAGAGCGTCTGCTTTTTTTTCTTTTCTTTTTTTCCTTTGTACACTTGAACCTACTTGCCCTGCAGACTTGCCGATGGTATTCCCAATTGTGCTTCAGTAAGAAACTGCATTCTGTTTGTGGTGTGGCGTGCATTAGGGCTGCCACGATTAGTCGAATAGTCATGATTACGTCGACTATCAAAATTGTCGACAACTAATTTAATAGTCGACGCATCGTTTGAAGCTTTGTAAGATCCCAAAAGACGCGGGAATAAGTAGTAGGATTTAAGAGTGTAATAACAGACTGAAACAGAACATGGCAGCACTGCATGTACAAGGATGCCAGCTGCCGTTAATAGTTTTTACACAGCAGAATAAACGTCAATCAGACAACTGATTATCAGAAGTGTGAGATGCTCGATAATATACTCCGGTGTCCTGTTATATTTTAGATAGCAAGGAGCACACGGCTGAGTTTATTAAATTTAAATGAAATTTGCAGATTGTTTCAGTGGAGTTTAATAAACTATCATCTTGTCTTTATTTTTAGCTAGCACATACCTTAAACACTTAAAGCTCTAAGCTAATGATAGTTATATAAGAGCAGATGCTGCTGGCGCAATAAGCTGTACGTTTTATGTCCAATGGATACATAATCTGATTAGTCGACTAATTGCAAAAATAATCGGTGACTAGTAAAATAATCGTTTGTGGCAGCCCTAGTGTGCATGTACTGGGCTGTTATGTTCTAAATTATTAAATTAAATAATAATAATTAAAATGCTAACTAATTGAAAAAGAAGTGTACCGTAATTGTCGGGCTATAAGCCGCTACTTTTTGCACAAGCTTTGAACCCTGCGGCTTTTAGTCAGGTGCGGCTTTTCTATGGATTGTCCATGATTTTTGTCATATCGTAAGACGATTTGTTTTGTTTGTTCCGCTGTTGTACGGCACTACGTTGCCTGGCGGAAGGATCGGGGTTCAAGAGTGGTATGTTGGTCACATGTCCATCCGCCAGGCAACATAGTGCCTCACAAGTAGCGTGAAAAGCGGCTTGAAGACTTTTCGCCTCTCATCCGAGAAGCTTCTTCAGTTTTAGGGTAAAGTGGTGGAGTGTCACAGATTTTTCTTTTCAAGCTCCTTAGAAATCTGAGATGATGGTGTTTTAGATTTATCAGAATCAGAATATTTGAATAATCCCTGAGGAAATTATGTAAATTATTTAACAGAGTTACAGTTGACATTTAAAATGAACCCCTTGGCGGTTTTACTATTAACTATACATTTAATTTTCAGTATAAGAAAAGTGCAGTTTGAACAGTTTCTCTACACAATAAGGAAATGGTGCTAGAATAAGAATAGGCTGGGTCTTATATATTTGTGTGACATGGCCTTCCTGCTCTCAACAACAGCTGAGCACCGCAAATAAGCAGGTGCACAACAAACCACACAAAGCTGCCAGCTCATGCTTCTGTAGCATCGTGTGTGCTATTATGAACTACTCTCACACTGCAGCTGCACTTAGGCTCTGCCCCTTCCTGAGTGTGTAAAACATCTGCAAAAGGTCACATGACATCTTAGAAACTCTGAAACATCTTCCGTCTTCCTCAAATGGGGACTTGTCTCAGACCTGGTGCTGGTTCCTGTTTGCCTATGAGGTCTTGTGTGCTGTAGCTCCACCCACTAAAATGACCTGTTGTACTGAAGGAGATATTACTGGTTTATTTCTGTGTGAAATCATTGTCAAACCTTTGTGTTCTTCAGCTGCGCTCTGACCCCAAAATCATCATTGCCAAGATGAATGCCCTGGCCAATGACGTCCCTCTGGGTTACGATGTCCAAGGGTGAGATTCAGGTTTCCCGTGACATGCTTCAGTCATTGCCAGGTGTGAGTCTGATGTCGCTGTGTCTGCCTGCAGGTTTCCCACCATCTACTTTGCTCCAGTAGGCAGGAAGGACGAACCCGTCAGATACCAGGTAAGACACCTGAGTGCATACCCAAGACCTGAGGCTAGATGGACCTCAGCTACAGTTTTAGACGAAGTTGCTTCCTCTCAGTTTATCTAAGGTCAATGTTATCTGCAGCAGCCCACTCGCCTGTGCTGTAGTTTTCCCTCACAGCTGTTTGAGCTGCCTTGTCTCAGGGTTTTATGGGTAGTTAATTATGCTCTGTGCTCACCTATGTGCACCAGCTCAGGTCCACACCTGCAGTCTGCGGCTTCTCTCAGCATATGTCAGTGGGATTTAAAAATTCCATTTTCTCATTTACATACATCCTGTTTGTCAACACAGAGTCTGCCCATTCATACTTCACATTTAAATAATTTTCTAACCCCCCGGGTCAGTGTGAGCACTGCAAAGTACAGACACTCATTTTTCTCCACAGCCACTCATGGTCAGCTCAGAAGAAACACAGGACATAATTTGGTCCATTAAACTGCACCTGCTTCCACTTGTACAGGCTCTTGACTGATATGGTACAGGTACAACCACATCTGTGCACAGATCAGAAGAGGCGTTTTCTCAAAGTGCAGAAGTGAGTCATTCAACGATTCAGTGCAGAGAGGTCTATTAACACATAGTGAGTGAGAAAGGTGAAGAAGACTCAGTGCATCATGGGAATCCCCCAGCAGCCTACACTTATTGCAGCATAACTAAGGGAGGATTCAGGGTCACCTGATCCAGCCTAATGATATGCTTTAGCAAAAAGGAAAGTTTTAAGCCTAATCTTAAAAGTTGAGCAGCCAATAACACTAGGGGTGCAACGATATTCGTATCGATATTGAACCGTTCGATACAGTGCTTTCGGTTCGGTACGCATATGTATCGAACAATACAACATTTGTAATTTATTTTATCAATTTTCCTTCTGACGATGCTGTCTGTGTTGAGCGCTCAGTGAATCTGTGTTCGACTACTCCGCCTAGGCTGCACTGTCGAGCGCAGATCCACTGAGCGCTCAACACAGACAGCATAGTCAGAAGGAAGAGCGCAGGGCAAGCTAGCGAGACAGAAGTTAAGCTCTCCTTACAACAGGCAAATTGAACGTCATTCAGATCTGGGGTTTGGAATTATTTTGGTTTTCATGTGACATATGACCCTGAAGGTAAGCGAGTCATGGACTAAAGTAAAACAGTATGTTGAATGTGCCATGCAATGCTCAATTACATTGGTGTGAACTAGTGTGTTAGCGCAGTTAGCTCGTTAACGTGTTGGCCGTCTAGCCCCATGCACGGAGCGATCGGCGGTAGCTCGTTAACGGAGATTTGCCGTGTTGTGGCATTAACGTCATTTCAGATTAACCTGAAAGCACTAGTGGGAACACAACGAATATGACTGCACATTTACGCCGACATCATCCTAGTGCAAAGACAAAAACAACAAGCATGCTACTAACTTTAGCCGAGTCATTTAGACAGCTGTTAGCACATGATTCTCCTTATGCTGCTGAGAATATAGCCCAGAAGAAGCGGATAGTATAGCTTTTATTTTGGAAAGAGACATTTCTCTGTAATAAACTCTCTTTTCCAAAGATGAGTGATTCCTCAATCAGATACAGGGCTTGCAATATCGCTAGCCCGACGTCCGGGAGCTAGCGATGTTTTCAGTCGGGCTACCAAAATCTTTCTCTTCCCTGCCCGTCGGGCTATTGTAGGAAGGAAAAATATATGTCAATGCTTTTGCATTCTTTCAGAAATGTAGCTGGGTAATTATGTCATTGGCATCGGTGAGCCACTGTCAATATGTGACATATTGAAGTCGCGTTTGAATTTGCGCTTGTTTTTTTGCTTTCACTTTGCAATCCTGTGAACTGTGTATAGAGAGCGACAGCACTGATCTGTGAGTGATGATAATTTGTGCACCAATTCCTCTGACATCGTCTTATTAATCGTTAGCTTACTATGCAAACATGACAAGTGAAATCTCCCACAGCAAGCTTAAACATGTGAGAGGTTGATCGCGCAGAGAATCGCTGAGCTTATGTGAGTGCGTGTGTAAAAGCAGCAGGATTTATATTTGACTACGATGACCTGGATGACTGAGAACCTTCACAGACAGATATATATTTTAGTTCTGCTGAGCCAAATAAGACAGGTCAGGGTGAAGAAGTGACAGCCAAAGAAAAGCTTACCACAAAACGGAGAAGTTATGACAAATCAGACTATAAGGCAAAAAGAAAGAGCAGCTTTATGGTTTCATGGACAAAAGAATTTCTGTGGCTGCAATATGACGAGCTAAATAACCAGGGCTGCACATAAGTGGTCCGCAGGTGCGCATTCGGTGTCAAAATAAAAAACACGCACAAGGGTTAGGGTTAAATTTAAAAACTGTACTTTTGAGTTAAAATATATATTTATAATTTTAATAAATGACAAATTAAAAAGGCATGAACATTTTTTTGTATCGAAAAAATATCGAACCGTGACACCAAAGTATCGAACCGAACCGAACCGTGAATTTTGTGTATCGTTGCACCCCTAAATAACACCAGTGTGCTTTTTACTGCTCTCATTATCATCCACAGGGCATACGGACGCAGTACCCTCAGGGTCTGCCGACTGCTGCTAAAGTCCTGATTTTATACTAATTAATTAAATCCTCGTCTTATTCCTCAGCTGGTCTATATAAATAAAAGTGTGTGTGTATATATAATAATAACTAATGTGAGCCTGTAAAGGGCTGGATGTTAAAAATCCTTCCTGGTGACAAATATTTGCTTTGATTACACTGTAACTTCAGGCTGTGGTCTTTCCTGGAAAACCCAACGTGTTTATACTGTTTGACTCAACATTTATTGTTCAGAAACAGCACTACAGCTGTTTCTGAACAATAGGCTCATACACCACCAAAGAAGAGCCTACAGGGATTATAAATGAAGAATTTTACTTTGAAAGTCTGTTGTCATTTACGTACACACACAGCCACATTTCCTGTTTTTTTTAATACACCCTCATTCATCCAGAGCTGCAAGTGGAGGAAGTGAAGCTAAAGTTCAGTGTTTAATAGTTGGTAGTTTGCTGAAGCTTACACAGACACTGTGGACACTGTGCAGTTTGTGAAGGCAAGGCTTCACAGTAAGGGTGGAGCTTGAGCCACTGACAGGTTTTCAAGATAAAGTCTTTATGTTAACTTCCTTCTGGGGTCACATGACATCTCCCATGTGCTTTCAGGGCACCCGCGAGCTCAAAGACTTCCTCCGGTTCCTCAAGCGAGAGGCGAGTCACCACTTGGTGTTGAGTGGCTTCAAAGATGAACTCTGACACCCCCAACAGCAAGGAGGAGAGCCTGAATCTGGAGCGCCAATACCGGACATTACATCAGGACACTCGTTGCATCAAATCAAATCGCTCACTCATCCCTGAAACACACCGCTATTAATCATGCCATTGTCAGCCTCATTATTTATTTATTTATTTGTTTGTTTGTTTGTTAACTTCAGTCGACCTCCTTTCGTGCACAAACAGGTTGCAGGTGTTTTTCTTCTGTTTTTTGGGACAATAAAGTTTTGTATGAATTTCAGAGACTTGGACAGGTTTGTGCTCGTTCAGGCCCACAGCTGCTTATCGACCTGTCGTCCCAATATGCTTTAGGCACATGTGATGTTACTGGACACAGGTAAACACACTCATGGGAATATCCACGTGTGTTTTCAGAATGCAAATCAGTCAAAATTGATTCTCAGCTTGGTGTACAAATAAGTCACAAGAAATGCAGAAAGTGCTACATGAGCACCAGCCCTGAGTCTCCTCAATGAAGGAGACATTCACAATCAGCCTGTTAGATATAAGCATAATTAAATTCACATATGACTGCTCACATTATTTGCCACATTTTCATGACGGTAATCCCACTTTTATTGTATTTATGGCTGGTTGGTTCTTGGAACCAACTCTCTGATGCATTCATGAGTCTAAATGTTACATAGAGTAGAAAAGCACTGTAGTCCATTTTCTGCTTTGAGAAGTACTTAATAAAAATGTTTTGGGAGCCCTGGTCAAAAACACCCCCTCCTCCCATGCAGTTTCAATAAATGAAACTATTTATTCACCTCATGCTTGCCATGGATCCTAAACTAAGGTATCACACAATATCAAAGGTGGTGGGGCATTCTGTCAGTCATTTTAAAGAAGAAAGGCTTCATTGGTTCATGAATCACCTGATCCAGTCTAGAAATTACCAGAACACTGGAGATGTTACTGCATTAACCTGAGACAGCTGGGTCGGTTCCTGGTCATGAAAGGGAGACGTGATGCTGCTACAACCCTGCTGGGAGTGAGGAAGACTTCTGATGTGACTGCCCAGTGGGAAAACGAGCTGGAAAAAAGTGTAACCTTTGCTCCTTAACAGACAGGAAGGGAGAAAGTGGTAGCGCCTGATGCTTTTGCTTGTTTCCGGTCCTGTAGAAAGATTGGTTTGCATTACCAGGAGTAAGTCTATTTAATAATAATGAATTTTATTTATTTTATTTATAAAGATCCTCAAAATTACATTAGTACAACAAAATAAATGATAAAAATAAGAAGACCAAGTGATATTATTTCTATGTGCCGTGAAGGAAAGAGTGCTGTCAATGATGACACCAACACTGTTAACCTGAGGGGAAGGTATGACAATAGTTATCAATGAATAATGAAAGATTTATGGTCCCAACTTTAGTCAGTATAGATTTGGTGCATATTTGAATAAATTCTGTTTTATTACCATTAAGTTTAAGAAAGTTCTGAAACCTTGATTTCACTTTAACGATAAGAAATGTGGGTATGAGAGTAACTATAGGTTTGGAAGTAGATTTGGGTGTCATCTGCGTAGCAGTGGAATTGAATGTTATATTTCTTGAAAATATTACCTAGATGTAGGAGATAATAAAAAGCAAAGATCCCAGGACAGAGCCTTGGGGTACACAGGACTTAACTGGAGTAGATGGTGATCTGTGAATAAGTAATTGAAAAAAACTGTGCACGGCCAGAAAGATATGAGGAAAACCAGGTGAGTGCTATATTTTTGATGCCAATAGATGTTAATCTATGAAGAAGGATGCCGTGGGAGATTGTATCAAAAGTTGCCATAAGGTCAAGGAGAATGAGGATAGTGATGAGTCCAGAATTCGCTGCAAGCAAAAGATCTTTTGTGATTTTTACTAGAGCTGTTTCTGTACTATGAAATGAACGGAAGCCAGATTAAAATGGTTCAATTTTTTCAGTTTTATTTATACAGCACCAAATCACAACAACAGTCAATTTTAAGGTAGACCCTACAATAATACATACAGGAAAAACAACAATTAAATGAACCCCTATGAGCAAGTACTTTGGCAACAGTGGGAACACGTGAACACGTAAACATTCGGCCCATTTCTCATGGGGCGCTGCTAGCTTGAGTGACACACATGTCTAAGATGGACTTTATACAGTTTATTCCTCTGCACGACAGACTGCTCTATACAGGTTACAGGGCACGCCTCTGAGCGCATCTATCATTAATGCTACTGTGCATAAAGCTCCGACAATGGTACAGACCAGCGGTTCATTACACTCCCACCAATTATGCTATGATTTACAAACTAGCTAAATCATACATGATTCTGAACAACAACAAAAATGAAACCACTTCAGCCAATATAAAGGTGTACAGACCATGATAGAGCAGTTGCCACTTGGAATGGTACATTGTTTATGTCAATATGTCAGTTCATCTCAGACAATAACATGTTTGTTATTATTCTCTTTCAACAAGAACCACCAATTTTTGGATAGGCTGCTCGATAATGGGGGGCTTGAAAGCACGGTCCTGTTTTTTGGTCCGACTTTGGTCTCCTACTTGAACCTTGACCCGACGGACTAAACCATCATCCCCTTCAATAGTTTCAACTATACGTCCCAGTTGCCACTGACACCTTGGTAACATACCTTCTTTGATGATAACAATGTCATTCACTTTTAGATTGCGGAGGGTTTTGTGCCACTTCTGTCTTGTGGAGGCATTCATGAGGTATTCTCTTTTCTGCTCAGTTAAGTATTCTACTCTATGCCACCTCTTCACTGCATACATTTCAATTCAATTCAATTTTATTTATATAGCGCCAAATCACAACAAAAGTCGCCTCAAGGCGCTTCATAGATACAGAGAAAAACCCAAAAATCATATGACCCCCTATGAGCAAGCACTTTGGCGACAGTGGGAAGGAAAAACTCCCTTTTAACAGGAAGAAACCTCCGGCAGAACCAGACTCAGGGAGGGGCGGGGCCATCTGCTGCGACCGGTTGGGGTGAGAGAAGGAAGACAGGATAAAAGACATGCTGTGGAAGAGAGACGGAGGTTAATAACAGATATGATTCAATGCAGAGAGGTCTGTTAATACATAGTGAGTGAGAAAGGTGACTGGAAAGGAAAAACTCAATGCATCATGGGAATCCCCGGCAGCCTACGTCTATTGCAACATAACTAAGGGAGGATTCAGGGTCACCTGGTCCAGCCCTAACTATATGCTTTAGCAAAAAGGAAAGTTTTAGCCTAATCTTAAAAGTAGAGATAGTGTCTGTCTCCCGAATCCAAACTGGAAGCTGGTTCCACAGAAGAGGGGCCTGAAAACTGAAGGCTCTGCCTCCTATTCTATTTTTAAATACTCTAGGAACAACAAGTAGGCCTGCAGAGCGAGAGCGAAGTGCTCTAATAGGGTGATATGGTACTACAAGGTCATTAAGATAAGATGGGGCCTGATTATTTAAGACCTTGTATGTGAGGAGCAGGATTTTGAATTCAATTCTGGATTTAACAGGAAGCCAATGAAGGGAAGCCACAACAGGAGAAATCTGCTCTCTCTTTCTAGTCCCTGTCAGGACTCTTGCTGCAGCATTTTGGATTAGCTGAAGGCTTTTCAGGGAGTTTTTGGACATCCTGATAATAATGAATTGCAGTAGTCCAGCCTGGAAGTAATAAATGCGTGAACTAGTTTTTCAGCATCACTCTGAGACAGGATATTTCTAATTTTAGAGATGTTGCGCAAATGGAAGAACGCAGTCTTACATATTTGTTTAATATGTGCGTTGAAGGACATGTCCTGGCCAAGAATGACTCCAAGGTTCCTCACAGCGTTACTGGAGGCCAAGGTAATGCCATCCAGAGTAAGAATCTGGTTAGATATCACATTTCTAGGCTTTTCAGGGCCGAGTACAATAACCTCAGTTTTATCTGAATTAAGAAGCATGTCTTCTTTCACAAATTTTCCAGGTGGTGGTAGGGCAACCTTGGACTTCATCAGTATAAGATGGTTTGGAGTAAGGGGTTCAGGTGCTTTTGGGTCGCTGATACTGTCCACAGTCAATGGGTGGCTATTTACAATAGCCATGGCTTCATAAAACAAAGTTCTAAGAGAGGCATCGTCTAGTCTTCCTGCACACTGAGCAGTAGTGGCATTTAGCACATTACGAATGCTCCTAATGGCCACCTGCATGACTTGCAGAAGGAGCACTGAAAACAAACTCACACTGTTTGTCTACCAGGAAAGCTTCCAGTGCCTGCATGTCACACGCCTCTGCCTTTCTAAATGGAGGGACAGTAACTGCGTGTGTATATGTAAGCATGTAAAACCTGAAGATAGTCAGATTAACAGTATTTTGTCTCTATCTGCCATTCTGCAATTCATCTCATGTAAAAAATAACATGCGCACAGCGTGACGTGAAAAAGGCACATACCTTTGACGTTTGGTGACGAACTCTGTATTCCTCGTCCACACGTAAACGCAAAAAAGGAGTTTTAAAAAATCTCAGTTTTCGGTGATTTGAAACACCGTTTATGTGTGGATGAAGCAGCTGTGTTTTCAAAAATACCCATTTAGGTGTGGACGTAGCGTAAAAGAGTTAGTAGTTTACTTTCTTACTACCTGTAATTTATTGCAGATTACTTGTATTTGCTTAATTGCTTACTAAATGTTTGAGGTGTGAAATGGATTGGAATGGATTGGATTTATATAGCGCTTTTCTAGGCACCCAAAGCGCTTTACAATTCCACTATTCATTCACTCTCACATTTACAATGTGAAATAAACCACAATGGAGCAAAATATGGGTGTGTGCCCCCCCCCCCCCCACGAACATTTTTCTTGTAAAACAAGGGGGGGCCAGCAAAAAAAGTTTGGGAACCACTCCTGGAGAGTGTTGTTACACTTGGTTGACTGTTGTGATGGGTTCTCTCTTCACCATTGAAATGATTCTGCAATCGTCCACCACTGTTGTCTTCCTTGGACACCCAGGTCTTTCGGGGTTGCTGAGTTCACCTGTCCTTTTTTTCCTTTCTCAGGATTTACCAAACTGTAAATTTTGCCACTTCTAATATTGTAGCAATTTCTCGGATGGGTTTTTCTGTTCTCTTTGACCGCGTGGTGTCTGTTCATAATAAAATTTTCCAAATGCAAGCACAACACCTCAAATCCACCCTCTTTTTGAAGGGACCAAACGTAAATGGACAAGTGACTCAACAGCTATTCATAGGCAGGTATGGATAATTTCTTCGCCATGT